GGCTTGATGGAGCGCAGGAGATGCAGATAACTTGATCTTGACCCTTAAGAAACTTTAAATAATGCTTTCATGTAAAAAAAAATTTAATAAAAAAAATTGCTATAATTACAACATTGAAATAAAAATGTAAAGCCTGTACAAATATTAGAAATCGTGAATATAAATAATTGGGTATCATGTAAAATAAAATAAAAAACAGTGCATAAATGAAATGTGTCTATTATAACATTTATGTAGTTTTGTTTACTCAGCCGTTTCCTTATAAAGGTCCAGAAATTCGTCAAGTTTTTTGTCAGGTGTCTTTTCTAATTATATGATGCCATTACGTTGCTGTCTTGCCGCCAGCCAATCGCTGCATTGCTGATTGTGGTTTCGAGTATCGATACATCTTCCCTTTTCAAGGAACACGAGAACTCGCAGTAATCTTAGGGTGCTTCTTAAACGGAAGGCTGCATCCTACCGAGGCTGCGTCCTTCCTAGTTCAGTCCTTCAGAGTATTGTAGCCTAGAGTCCTCCTCGGCATTAAACACTAGAATGAGACAGTCTAGTTTACAACTTAAAAGTAGCTGCTTAAAAGTATGTAAACCTTAATTATACAGTAACTTTAACAAATAAGCAGAAGTCAACTTGCCATACAAAACAAGACCACGGAGGCCTACATACACAGATCCATGCAGAATAACTAAACACACCAAAATACAAATTAAAATTGAAACCATTCTGAATGTGTGGAGACTCAGCGATCGTAAGGTGGGTCGATGTCATCACTGAATAGTTCCTCTGTCAGAATAAGCGAATTTGAAGCATTTGATGCCCATATGTACATAACTGATCCTCAGAAACTTCTCCAAAACACGCTTCTTCGGCTAGCATCCGTTATAAAGCACTTGCTGTACATTACTTTTGACAACTACATGAATATACAGAACTGTGTTCAAGCAGAAATATGATGTTATAGCGATCAGTGCGCCATGAGCGTAGATACACAGTTTGTTTGCGCATCAATAATAACGGACACAGTGTAATACGTGACGTGATTTGCAGTCATTCGTAATGTCATAGCATTTTATTTAAAAAATGGATCGGTTCCTTGGGCAAAGTGTCACATCACGTTCTTGTTCTTTTTTTGGGCAGAAGGACACTATGGTGTGTGTCTCGGTGAACGCAAACAAAGATGAAAAACGAGTCCTGGGGAGAGTATTTGATCCTTTGATCTTATAGTAGCTGTGGCAGCAGGCAGGGGGAAAGGTGATTGTTTTATAAACAAATATTGTGATTGGCCTGGAGAGCGTGTGTGTTTGTGTCTGTCTGTGTGTGTGTGTAAGAGAGAGAGAATGAGAATCTCTTTTGGATTTTTTTATTTATGATTTATTGATTTTATTTCAATAAAAGCTGTCTTACTCTGATGCAGTCTTACCAGTTCATTTGTGTGTGTGTGTGTGTGTGTGTGTGAGTGAGAGAGAGAGAGAGGGTCAGAGGGTTTTAATGATGATTATTATGATGATTATAATACATTATTATTATTATATTTTTTTTAAATTATTATTGATGTTGTTGTTACTATGGTTGTTGTTGTTAAAGGAGTGTCATGTATTCTAACCGAACATTTAAATCGCGTTCCCTTCGTTTTTGTCCAGTCTGGCACCTCATACAAAATGATGCTCAAGTATGCTGTTTTAGTTCCGTAGTTTTTGAGCCTTTTACTTCGTCAGTGGAGGAAACAGGGTTTTAACAAGACGTTATTTTTAAAATTCACGCCTTTAAGTATGTTACTGTTAATTGCTAAATACAGGAATTTTAATGTCAGTGGCAAATGCAAAACGGACGATTCTCAATCCGGTAAGTCGATTTATGAATTTGAGACGACCTTACAAATGAGCATAGCCTAAGATAACATGCTTAGACAAGTGTTTAGTCTATCTGCGGATTTGTTAGCATTCTGTTTCGCTCATCATAACAGTAACCTAGACTGAAAAATAATGCGGATGGATTGTGTTTTTAACGTTTTTTTATTATGATTTTCATCAGACAATCCCCTTCACTGAGATTATACCGGGTGGTCTTCACCCAGGAGAGATGATTGTTATACAGGGATGTGTTCATAATGATGCGGACAGGTAAAATCCACTAAATACATCCGTTGGTTTATTCCCATAAAGTACATAAATGGATTGTAAAGGTTCTATTATTAAACACCTAGTGCGCACCTAGTGTATGACTCCTTTATGTCACTTTAATAGTCTTTACTGGGCGGCGCTTGGGGCTAGCACCCCCATACATAAAAAAGATGAAATAAAATAAAAACATTTGACTCACATGGATATCTCGTGCAATGCAATACGTGACGTGATTTGCAGTCATTCGTAATGTCATAGCATTTTATTTAAAAAATGGATCGGTTCCTTGGGCAAAGTGTCACAGTCACCAGTTGAGCCGTCTCTGCACTACATTTTCCAGCATCCCTCTTGCCACTCACCTGCACTTCCTTGTCAATCACTCACACCTGGAATCTATCAGTGGATCCTCCTCACCTGTTGCTGCCAATCAAGCTTCCCATAAGAACACGCTCACTCCACACTCTCATTGTCTGGTCTCGCAGTTGCTATGTGTTGCTTACCTCAGTAGTTCCCAACCCTGGCCTGGAGGCAACCCCGACACTGCACATTTTGCATGTCTCCTTAATCAAACACACCTGATTCAGGTCATCAGCTCATTAGAAGAGACTCCAAGACCTGAAATTGGTGTGTCAGAGAAAGGAGACATGCAAAATGTGCAGTATTGGGGTGCCTCCAGGAATGTGGTTGGGAACCACTGTTTAGATCACAACACTGGAGAATAGAGCGCTATGAATCGTTCTTCACACACACAGTAACTGAAATTTAAAACTGTTAAAAGAAAATGCTCAATAAACTGCTGCATAACAGCACTGCGCGCTGTGACTGTGTTGCTTAAGTGATGCGCATAAGTGCTTTGTGCCGCTCTGTATAGGAGCCTTTATAGGTGCCTCCAGGACCAGGGTTGGAAACCACTGGTTTACCTAACCCAAGTCTCTGTTTACTTACCCACAAGTTCTCCAGCGATCTACTCCTTATTGTCCAGCGCTCCAAAGATCCTCTGCTCCTGCCATCCCACCTGGAAGAAAGGAAGGACACGTAAATCCACCAAGCTAAGCCACCAAACCCTATCCGCTACCAAGATACTTCCCCTCTCCCTGGTGTCTTGTCTTCTCCTGCCACAGTCTTCAATAAATCTACTGTTATACTGATTTACCCTTGTGTTTCCATTGTGTTTGCTGACAGAAGACCTACAACGCAGCAGAATGAGGGACTCACCACTCTGTCACTAGCTACCCCGTTCATGTCTGTTCATGAGTCTCTTCCAGAGTCCACTACAGTCCATAAGTCTGCTCCAGCTTTCAGCCCAGAATACGCTCCTGAGACCATGCTTCTAATGACCTCTGCCAAAAGGAGGAAGCAGAGAGGGAGCAAGCAGTCAGTGTCTGCTCCAGTGTGTCTTCCTGAGTGGCCCTCAACTTCAGTCCCTGAAGCCAGTAATTAGTTTGTTTCTGTTCCAGAGTCCAGTGATGAATCCACTCCTGCCTCAGAATTCCATCCGGATTCCCTAGCCAAAATGTCCGTCATGCATGAGGCCATGCCAGAACCCATGAGCAAGATGGAACTTAGACTAATGTCCAGTAAGATTAATGTCCAGTGTGGCAGATCCCCTGTTGAAGGTAAGTGCGAGCAGCAGGCATCCTGGTAACCCCAATCCTCAAATACAGCCCTAGTAAAGTTCCTGCTCAGAACCTCAGCCCCCTAAGGATGCTAGCTTCAGACTCCAGTCTCTGACCTGGTTCCGCCCCAAGATCTGCTCCAGTTTTCAACCAACTGCCCATTCTAGAGGCCTTGCCTCATTCTACCTACGCTCCTAAGAGGAGGCGAAGGAAGAAGAACCGGCCTGCCATGAGTTCAGCTCCTGATCCTGAGTTTAGCCCAGAGAGGGCTTCTGTTCCTGAGTCTAGCCCAGAGAGAGCTTCTATCCCCGAATCTAGCCCAGAGAAGGCTTCAGTCCCCGAGTTTAGCCCAGAGAGGGCTTCTGTTACTGAGTCTAGCCCAGAGAGGGCTTCTATCCCCGAGTCTATCCCAGAGAAGGCTCCAGTCCCCGAGTTTAGCCCAGAGAGGGCTCCTCTTCCCAAGTTTAGCCCAGTGAGGGCTTCTATCCCCAAGTCTAGCCCAGAGAGGGCCCCAATCAGTGTTGCCAACTAATCAGGGGAAGTTGCTAAAGGAAGGTTGATTTGTTGCTAAATGACGCTGTGATATCATTGTGCGATGACGTCATTATGTAATCATGATGCAAAATTGTGTCACTACATCAAATCTCAGCAAAAAATATTTATTTTATGTGTTAAATTAGATTTTTTTCGTAAAATAATATAAATGCACATATAATATTAAAAAATAACTATTTGTAAATACAACATTGAATTATTGAACACTTACACATTTTTGAACGATTACAATTTAAGTTTTTTCTTCTAGAAAACTAGAAAAACTACACATTCTGAACAATTATAGTTTTAAGCAGTGTATTAGTAGTTAGTTAGTGTGCTACAATCTAAGAAAAGTCTGTAAAAATAATCTACCATGTTAATATTGAAGGAATTTTCTGTATTAATTTTTTAAAGTTTTTTTTTTTAAACCTGCATTTTAAATTACGCTTTGTATTTTGTGTTTTCGGGTTACAGGATTATAATGGATAATGCCATGGAAAATTACTAGTACCTTTTCCATTTTTGAATTTTTCTTACAGTGCACTAACTGTTCAACAATCACAGGTACAAGCCACTAACAGGGTGTATCATAAATGAACAATTATTCAATCATTAAATTGTTCTATTATTATTAAATTGAACAATTGCAAATAGCAGCTAACTTAATTCACATGATGTGTGTACTGCTAGGCATCTTTGGTTTCCTCTTTTTTTGTAATTTAGAGTCACTTAACAAGAGTTGCTAAAAATTGCCAAAAAAAGGCTAAATTTGTTGCTAGGTGCTTTTGGAAGAAAAAGTTGCTAGGGTAGTCTGAGAAGTTGCTAAATTTAGCAACAGAATTGCTAAGTTGGCAACACTGGCCCCAATTCCCGAGTCTAGCCCAGAGAGGGCTCCTGTTCCAGAGTTTAGCCCAAAGAGAGCTTCTGATCCCGAGATTGGCCCAGTGAATTTATCTGTTCTAGACCAGAGTCCAGTGCCCGCTCTTGCCTCAGAGCTCTGCCAGGATCCTGCTCCTAATCCAGAGTCCTCTCCAGAATGCCTCCAGTGTCCATTTCTCTCGAGCGCCCTCCAGTGTCCGCTCCTCCCGAGCGCCTCCCAATGTCCACTCCTCCTCTACCTGAGTGCAGCCTGGATCCGGCGTTCATCACAGAGTTAAGCCAGCAGCGCTTTCCAGTTCTTACATCTGGTACTGTGCCTGCCCCAGTCCAGGAATCCGTTCCAAGGAATGCTGTCCCTAAACCCATTCCAGAGAGTGAGAGGTCCGACACAGCTCTGGAGAAGGAAGGCCCTAAGTTCTCTCCTGGGAGTCGAGAGCTCGCTCTAGCCCCGGACCTGAGTCGAGAGATGGTTCTAACCCCTGACCAGAGTCAGGAGATGGCTACAAATCCCGAAGTCTACCCTGAGAATGTTTCAGGTCCTGAGTCTAGCACTAAGAGGGCTTCCATTCCCGAACACCTTCCGGGACCAGCTTTAATATCTGAGCACAATTCAGTGCCGACTTCAGCCTCGGAACACAGAACAGTGTCCGCTCGCATCCCAGAGCTTAGCCAAGATCCCGCTCTCAGTAACGAGTAGAGCCAATCTCTGGATCATGCCCTAAAATTAAGCCAAGAATCTGCTCAAGTTCACAAGTTCCTCCCAGAGCTTGCTCCTGACCTTGAATCTGCTCCAGAGCCTGTTCCAGTTCACGAGTTAGTTCTAATGATTACTTCTGTCCTGAAGACCCCCGTTCGGGACCCCCTTGAATGTCCTGCCATGGCCAGGGTCAATACGGTTTGTGAACCCGCTGCCTGCCCTATTGCCGTTGTAGTGTCCACTGGTAATCTGTCAGTGCCCTATGTTCCAGTTATGCCTGCTTCTCCCTGGTGGACCCCGGCCCCATCTGCTCCGCCCTGGTGGGCGTCGGCTTCCTCTGCTCCACACTGGCAGGCTTCAGCTTCCTCTGCTTTGCCCTGGTGGGCATCAATTCCACCCTGGTAGGCTTCGGCTTCCTCTGCTCCTCCCTGGTGGGCTTCGGCTTCATCTGCTCCACCCTGGCTGGATTCCTGCTCTGCCTTCCTCCCCTGGATCTCCGTTGCTTGGACCTGGTCCTCCGTCCCCCCCCCATCCCGGTTCCGCCTCTGCTCCACCTCTCTCCTGGACTATGTTGTTGTTGTTGGAGCATCTGGAAGCCGCTCCTTTGAGGGGGGGTTATTGTCACAGTCACCGGTTGAGCTGTCTCTGCACTACATTTCCCAGCATCCCTCTTGCCATTCACCTGCACTCCCTTGTCAGTCACATACACCTGGAATCTATCAGTGGATCCTCCTCACCTGTCACTGCCCATCAAGCTCCCCATAAGAACATGCTCACTCCACACTCTCATTGTCTGGTCTCGCAGTTGCTATGTGTTGCTTACCTAACCCAAGTCTCTGTTTACTTACCCATAAGTTCTCCAGCGATCTACTCCGCATTCTTCGGCACTCCAACGATCCTCTGCTCCTGCCATCCCACCTGGAAGAAAGGAAGGACACGTGAATCCACCAAGCTAAGCCACCAAACCTTATCCACTACCAAGATACTTCCCCTCTCACTGGTGTCTTGTTTTCTCCTGCCACAGTCTTCAATAAACCTGCTGTTATACTGATTTACACTCGTGTTCCCATTGTGTTTGCTGACACCAAGTAGGCCTGCCCCTGACAAAAGATTTTTATTTTTTTTTAGTCAACTAGTCACACGTTTATATTAAGTTCTTTCTGTAGGTAAAAAATGCCAGGGATTAATCCATGTCATACAGTAAGCGCAATAATACTCCCACACTCCTAAAAATTTGAAATGAGCCTATATAGCGATTTTATTGTTCATAT